GCAAACTACTGGGCTGAGACCATTAAGAATACGTGATTGTCACTTTCATATAAAACAAACGGCAGCAAGTTAGTCGCACCTGAGAAAAGTAAGAGCAAGAAAGGGAGAAGCGCTTGCTCGGCTATGTTGGGGGTCCGACAGGTGCTCTAAAGAAGACTAAACAGAATTCACATAAAAATGTATACAAGCCTTGTCTGCCTTTGCACGTCTATGATGTCGACCAACTGCAACTATGATGGCTTCAACTCTTCTGGAAAGGCTTTGTGCAAGGTTTAGGAGTGTGTTTGAGAATATTTGTAAGATCAGACACTGATGTTGGACTAGAAGGCCTGGCTCACAGTCTTCCCTCTAATTCGTCCTAGAGGTGTTCTGTTGGGTTGAGGTCAGGACTCTGTGCAGGCCAGTCAAGGTGTTCCACACCAAACTTCCTCAACCATGTCTTTGTGGACCTTGCTTTGTGCATTGCTGCACAGTCAGGTGGGAAGAGTAAGCGGCCATCCTCAAATTGTTCCCACAAAGTTGGACGCATGAGTTCTATTCATTGGATCTAAGGTTCCAGGCCCAACTCCTGAAACCCAACCGTCAAACCCAGACTCGTGCATCAGACTGCCAGACAGAGAAGTACGATTTGTCTTTCCAGAGAACGCGTCTCCGCTGCTCTAGAGTCCAGTTGCGATGTGCTTTACACCACTGCTTCTGATGCTTTGGATTGCTCTTGCCGATGTAAGGCTTGGAAGCAGCTGCTCGTCCATGGAAACACATTCCATGAATCTCTCTACATTCAGTTTTTGAGCTAATCTGAAGGCCTCGTGAAGTTTGGAGGTCTGTAGATAACGGCTCTGCACAAAGTCGGCGACCTCTGTGCGCTATGTGCATTGTGCATATAACTTTGTTATAAAAACCAATAACATGTGACTGTGGAATATTCACTAGCGAATACATTTTATGACTGGACTTGTCGCACAGGTAGCATCCTAGCACGATAGCACGCTTGAATTCACTGAGCTCCTGCGAGCGAACCATTCTTTCACAAATCTTTGTCGAAGCAATCTGTAAGGCTAGGTGCTTGATTGTATATAACTGTGGCCATGGAGGCTGTTCATGTGGTTAGAAATCACCCGTTGTTAGTGTTCAACGGCTAAGAAGCTGGGAACACCAGGAAAGATGCCAGGCTTTATTGTAGATAAGTATGCACTCATACGTGATGTTTGACTTGCGTGTTAGTCAAAGTCGTGGCTCTTCTTCCTGTCCTGACTTTGGTTTCTGGACGTGTGCTGCTCAGTATGAACATTAAACTAAAATGTCACGTATAGTTTGCTCACTCCGGATGAAATTAAAAGCACTCTGCCTGTAGCAGCTGTTGTTTATTGTCAGAAAGGCCAACGTATTCTCGGGGACCGGGGCTCTGTTTGTTTCACGGTGTCCACGCCAGATGGAGAACCTCTCACAAGTCGCAGTGGGGGGAAGACACAGCGGGAGGAAATGTAATAAACCCAAAAAATCCACCAGTCACATGACGGTGACTGTTAATGGAGGGTACTCTGCAGGAGTAAACATCCGCTTTAACAGCTGTTTTTGTGATTTAACCCCTCACTGTCACAAATTCATGCGCCTGTGTATCAAACTCTTCTGACCCATTGAGAAAATCACTGTGAAAATAATCAATTAAATACAGTGTTTATGACCCATTTTTAACCCTCACGTGACCAAGCTGCTCTGGCAACTCAAATCACCAACTGGGGGTCAATTATGACCCAGTTATATTTCATACAGGAATATTTCTTTAAACGTTGCCTCCATGCTTCAGTTTCTTTCTGCTTTTACATCTTCTATTTCAAATATTTTGTGCAGAGACTCTAAAAGTGAAGACTTCTGCAGCAGTAAATGCTGCATCTCTAACAGCAAAACATTTTAATACAGTGACGGCAAGTGGCAAGTTAGAATAAAATCAAAACCTATGCTATTTTATGATTATAATGATTAAAATAATCCCTTACTGTCTTCACTTTTATCCAGTCAAATAGCAATAATAAAATAAACTTTATTTACACCGTACATTTCTTAACAAAGTACTTCACAGAAGTGTAGGGGTTTATTTTAAGTCCGCAAAAAACTTAAAAGTTAAAAGAAAGAAATAAAATAAACAAAGCATAGAAAACCCTGATGCACATAATTCAAAAATACAATTTTATTACTAAAATGATATTAATGTATTATAATACACAATTTGCTCCAAAGTACCTTCATTTCATTTAGTTTTATTTATTATTATTATTAATCAGATTTAGTTTTGTTTCTTTTTGGGAGTTTTTTTAAAGACGAGACAAGGATTTTGTGAATAAATCTGCTTTATTCTGCTACTTTAGGCCTGTCAGCCATGGCGTACTACAGAGCATGACAATATAGTGATCAAAAATGAAAATGAAATGATTCAGTTTGGTCACTTTCAAATTGAACATTTAAATCTTGAAAAGTTTAAAGTTAGAGTTAATTAGAATAACATCAGCCTCATCTGTCCATCAGTTCACTGGTGACTCCGCGTCTTCCCATTCTTAACCTCCTAAGACCCGAACTCTTTCATGGCGTGCGTTTTTAATGTCTATTTGCTATTTTGGCTGATTAGGAGCTGATGAATGTAAAAACAAAGAATTACCTTTTTTTTTTTTTTTTTTTTTTTTTTTTTCCAACAATTTTTTTTTATCTTAGAAAAATGTGATCCACATATGAGGACATTTGTTTTAAATTTTGATAGAACAGTGGCAGTATAATGTCCTCGTAGGTGGATATCAGGCCCTTGTAGAGCAAAACTTTGTATTTTGGTCTAGACAACCCAAAATGTGATGTCCGCATATGTGGACGCCAGGTCCTAGGAGGTCAATGCAAGCCGTTTAGGAAAAACCAGGATATCGATAAAGGAGGGAAAGAAACAAAAGCAGGACGTAAAGACAATATGAGACAAGAAAAAGAGCCTTCAAAATAAAATTAACCGATAGACAAATATCTAACATTAAAATTTGACAAAACCAACAAATAAAAGAGGAACTAGACAACAAATATATCACAGTATTAAGGATAAAATAAAATAATTATATGAACAACAATTAAATTGGCAATTAAAGGCTATAAACACCAGGACCATCATAGCAGTACATAATTGTACTACTTTATTTTCTTAGTCCAATTTTTAATTTTTTTTAATGCACAACATACCAGCAAATAAAGAAGAACATGCAAATACCTGATAATAAAGATTGCAGGTTTTGAATCAAAAATCAGGTTTTATTGAAGGTTTTATTGCTGGTTGATGTCCAGTTAGTCACCCTGTGCTCTCTGCATCACTCTGTGCTTTGACACATGTGGCAGAAACCAGGTCAGTGGTAGAAATCAGGTTATAGGGGACATCAGAGGACACATTTAGACCTGAAAATATCTATCAGCCACCTGACAGAGAAATCTGGCAACAAATTTATTAACAAATTTAGTTTTCAAGCAAAAAAAGCGAAACATTTACCAGATTCAGAGCTTCAGATGTGACGATTTCTATTATTATTTAATTCCAGGTTTTTTTTTGTTGTTTGTTTGTTTGTTAATTAGTTCACGGTTTTAAAGCCAATTAAAAGAAAACCGGGGATTTATGAGGAGCTGTGTAAGATACACAAGGATTATTTTGATCTTTGGATCATACCGAGCCACTCTCGTAGAGTCACAGAATAAAGACATGTAGCCAAAAATTAGTAATCAGTCCCTGAAAACAGAAGTTCACTGTTCAGTCCTCACCAAGCTGTGAGTTTAACTCTAGTTTCACACTGATCACACTGATCTTCACTATCATCTGGCCACACTCCTCACTGCTCATTTGTAGCTTTTGCCATGGACGTGTTTAATTAAAATCCCATTTAGAACCTGATTATTTGTACACGTGACCATGGAAATGACCTCCACCTTTATACCGCTTCTATGAAAATGCAGTTAAAGGACGTGTGCGTGTGCGAGAAGTCTAACAAATGTACAGTATCCATATTTACATCAACTTTAAACGCTCAAAGCTGCATGGAGCAGGACGGCGTACCAGAGGTATCTGAACGTCTTTAAGCACCTGAAAAACGTATTATGTCCTAGATTACACTCACGAAAGTCGAATATTTTCTCTAGCTTTTCTTAGACAGTGGCGTCTGCTTTGTGTGATTTTTTTTTTTTTTTTTTGGTGGTGTGCTCTCAGGAGACAATAAACACCTACAAACAACCGAGCG